CAATTCAGTCCACAAATCTCTCGTCACAACAAATACAACCAACTTTGTTCGTTTGCCAGGCGGGCATCTCTCGAAACAATTTGAGTTGTTCGTGAAAGAAACAAGTCAATCTTAATTGGGTTTGATTAAGATACGAATTAAAATTTGGACATTGGTATCCTTGGTTCACAAAGCTCGTGGAAAGAAGCTTCTACTTTTTCACAAGACAACTCAAACTAGGTTTGAAATCGGCTCGAAATAGTTTGAGTACTTGCCTTGGATTTAGCTCGTGAAAGTAACAAGAGAAGTCTAATTTATCTCGATTAAAACAAATCAAACTAAAATATTGATATGTTTGGTTTACAAAACTCGTGAGAATTGCTTGTATTAATTTCAGCTCGATTTGGATTTAACGGGTGAAAGTAACAAGCCAAGTTTAATTTAGCTCGATGAAAAGACAAACCAAACTAAAATATTTATATGTTTGGTTTACAAAACTTGTGAGAAGCTTGTATTTTATCATGCATACTGTCACACAGCTTATTCATAAACTAAATTATAATGACAAAGGGGATCAATTAGGCGGCTAAGTTTCTTGGTACTACTTAATTATCAGATGCACATACAAAGATTTATGGATTTATTAAACAATTAATTAAATAAATCTTTGACTAAAACCCAAAGAACATCGTGGAAAATGAGTAAACTATAACAATGTGCATGCGTGCAGGCTTTGGTCGCATTCATATGTTGTCTACGATAACCTCATAAAATGGCTTTGTTTTGGAAGAACATGTTTTTGGCATTTTTCTTCCAAGGGAATTTGGTTGTTACTTGTTAGTGAAGGCAAAAGAGACATAAGAAACATTCATCCCATATATCATTCATTTTTAATATATATATATATATATATATATATATATATATATATATATATACCTGAGAAAAATAAGCCATTCAAACTTAAAAGTTGATCTTCTATCTATTAGGACAAAAAAAAAAATTATTTTCTTAGGACCCGGCTTCTCTGCCCTCCCATTTCCCATACACTCTCATCCCCTCCTATTTTGTGTGTTCACGGTTAAGCCACGTCAACATTTTATATTGATTTTTTTATAGATATTATAAGACAAAAAGTAATAATAATATAAAATGTTAACGTGTCTTAACTGTGACCGCACAAATAAGAGGGATGAGAGTGTATGGGAAGTGTGAGAGCAGAAAAGCCAGGTCCATTTTCTTAATGGGGAAAGTACGTACTTTGTCCAAGAGTTGAGCACTTGATTCCAAAAGCAACAATGTAATTTGAAAGTACAAAAAAATGTATTTGTGGGATTTGATGGATATGCAAATAGCTTTATTTGTCACTTTGATTTGGAACTTAATGATCAGCAAATCTTCATCTTCTTTGTTTGGATGTGCTTTTGCAACCTCCCCGATAATTTTTATTGATCTCTATTTTTTAGTCTAAATATTGAGTAAAAATTTTGAGCTATAACTCATAATTTTTATCACTTTTGTAAAATCATCACAAAACATATAACTCACAATTTTATCACTTTTGTATAAATCATCATAAAATATTGTTCACAATATTTTCTTCGATCTTATAATTTATTCTGTTATAGTATAAATTGTGTCTTGCTAGTAATTATCATTTATTTTATGTTTTGCATCATAAAAAATAAATCTCAATTTCTCTTATTAAATTTGCCTTACAATGCAAATTATCTCGCAAAAAAAATTTAGTATTTAAATTTTTGCAAAAACCTGTGACGACTAACTACAAAACTTACATATATTTAATACAATCACTATTTGACGATAAAAAATAATTTATGTAAATATGAGTATTTGATACAATCATCAATGATTATCAAGATAATCATTGTTTTAAATAGGTGTAAGTATTGTTGTTAAATCCGAAACTGTGAGTCATAAAACACATTTAGAGAAAAATTTTAAATGGGCCCAAATTATAATGGAGTGGTTTGGGCTTCAAGTTTAGGCGCCTAATAACAACCGGGCCTATTGGGTTCGCTTAATGCAAGTTCCAGCTTGTTTTTACCATGTTACCCCGAATTTTAAAAACTCAAGTATATATGACAATTTTCTAACAGTTTGGTTTCAAATACTGTAAATTTAAGGTCTAGCTTTAACAAGGAATTTGAGCTAAAGCCACTCTTTGAGTTCTAACTTTAATTTAAGGTCTAACCCTTCACTTATAAGTGAGAGGTTTTAAGTTCGATTTTCGCCAAAGACGAATTTTAATCACATTAATGCTAGCTCACTGTGAGGCTTAGCTTATCCCCTCACCCCCTTAGTGTAGATAACATCGTTTGTTCAAAAAAAAAAAACTTTAATTTAAGGTCCAACCCTAATTAGATAATTAAGTCTTTTATTAATTCAAAGAAGAAGACGAGAGAAATGCATTTGGCCTTATGCTATTTTTTATTCTCTAACAACAATCTGTTCTTGCTCACCCAATTTATTTGATTATGTTGATCATCAAAGGCAAGTTCAAATTTTCAGACATTGATGAAAGTATCGCTAAATTGTAGTGCTAGCTTGTACAATATTTGAAGATGGTTGTTGACGAATGCCTTCATATCACATTGGACAACTTCATACTTTTCCTTCGAAAATTTCGAAATTGCTTGATGGAATTGTGTGAGAGAAAGAGAAGTTGACGGGTTGCCATTGATTTAATTTTTCAATAAATATTTTTGTCAATTTTAATTTTAATTATTTAATCCGAAACTCTATTTTTAAAAGAAAAAGATATTTACCACAAAACCCAACACCACCGCAGTCCCCCCCTTTTATTTCTTAAAATATACATTTTATATATAAATATTTTTGCACGACCAAAACAAACTTTTTAGTTTTAATTTCTTGCCTCAAAAAGTAGTTTTATTAAATTAATATTATTTATGCGCCTCTCTCTGTTGAAGCAGTACAGACTACAGGAGGTAAACAACATATGACATCCTCGTTTTCACGAACACCGTTCAGGTAACTCTCTCTCCTCTCCTTCTTCTTCCTCTTTTTTTCCCTAATTTAATTTGTTTCTTTTATATTTTAATTTTCATTTATTATTAATTCTCTGTTGCTTTGAATTTTGTATGTTTAATTCGTTATTTTTCTGGGTTTTGTGCTTCGAATTATGTATGATTTATGATACTCTGGGATGAGGGGTTGATTTATTTTACATATGTATGTTATTATTTTCCAACATTATTTTTTCCTTCGAAAATTTCGAAATTGCATGATGCAATTCTATGAGAGCTTCCGAGTTCAAACTAATGAATTTCCAGCAGCTGGTTTAGCTCAAAAGTGCTTTCAACAAAACGAATTTGAACCTTTTTTATTCGATTATTAATAATAATTTTAGTATCTGATGATTTTGAATGTAGTTTTACCATTGTAGTAAAAGAATCACTTTTTTTTTTCCCAGAAAGTTTTTGTGCTGTGATCAAAAGTGCTTTTAAGACAAGTCATCGTTTTGGCACAGTCGCACCGTTTGGTTTGGGGAGTAATTTTCACACTCTCGTTTCCTCTTTCTGAACTTTCGACCGTTATTTATGTACTTTGATTCTCTTTTGATTTATTCAATCTAAAGTTTGGTGAAAAAAAAATTGTGGGATCACTTCCCCTTTTGCTTTTCTTAAGCACAAAGGCTTCAACTTTCAATTGAGGCGTATGCTTTTCTTGTGACATGAGGAAAACCTTGCTCTTATTTATTCTACTTGATGCCATAATTTGTATTGTGTAGGGCATGCTAAAATGGTGGACATGCAATTAAAGGGAAGTGCTTGCAGGATTAAGAAGTGTGCTTTCGATTTACTGTCAATCGGGAACGATCTGACGAATGACGATCACTCGTGGGAGTTGATGGGGAGGGATCTCCGCCTCAAATCGACGTTCTTGTACTGTGATCTTAATCAGATGATCTCTCGTTCACCAAGGGACCAGAAGAGAGCTCTCACTGAACTTGCCAACAAACTGTTTTGCTCCATTGAAGAGGTAATTAACTTAACCACCGGTATGCAACTGCGTTTAGACCTCCCTAAACACATGCGGGGATGTTATTGTGCGGTATCTCAAACCAATTGCGCATTTTTGTACGGTTTAGCTTTTTCACGTGACAGTATGTTGGTTGTTTATGTATTTGTTTTCCAGTTGGATCAGGCAGTGAAAATTCGAAGCCTGGCGCTGACCCAAGATCGATACAATGAGGCTGCTGTCATTTTACAGGAGGTGATGGCTCTTGCGCCTTAAAAATAATACGGTCGATGGTTACAAACACTGATCTGTATATTATCTGTACACAAATTTCATGTCATCTCTAAAGAAATAGCTTGATCCTCGAGTCAGGTCTCGTTTTTTCGGTTTCAAACAGCGCAACCCCGTTGCTATTTAGATATGTATTCACCGTAACATTCCGGCATAGAAAACCAGTAGGGTTCCTCACAGTACTGAACTTAAAAAGCATATCATCAAAGGAAAAATGAGCAAACCAACAAATCAAACCGGGGTACCAAACAAAAGCGATGTGGTACAATTAACAATTACTAGTTGAGTTTATAAGAGTGAAACAATAAGTACTGGGAGCTCAAACTACATCTATATCGTTTATTTCCTGCACAAATGGAAGTAAGATCAAATGAAGCCAGCCAGGGATGGAGAAGTAAGATCAAATGCCAAATTCAGGCGGGTCTGAGTAGGCCTCGTCGGAGATTTCCAACTCTGCTTCCCAACTCGTTCGCTTTGCGCCTCAGACAACGAGGCAGTCCATCAGGATTCATGAACTTGATCTGTCTGCTTGAATTGGTCATTACAAATAAAAAATCAACTCCGTAGGTGAAAAAGTATACATATTCGGCTCATTGGCATCAAGCGATGAGCCCAGAGAAAGCCTGGACACAAAATTAAACTCGGAGTAGGCGTTTGGGAAGGGGAAACTTGGCGATTGCTCCTCAGAGTACTTTTACTATTTATATGCAAGTAATCAGATGCTGTTGAAAAATAAATAGAGGACAATTCTAAGTGAAGAAATGCAGAAATGACAGCTAGTACTTTCATCAAATTTGTATTAGATTACAGGCTGAAATAGTCTAGAATTAATAGTTACGAAAGGCGTAAATAAAGAGTACACATTCATCCAGCTATACAACAATTTGGAAAACACTTTCCAACCCCTCCCGCCTTCACAAGTGCCCGTGTCTTGCACACCAACTCGCCAAGAATATATGAGTCATTTCACATGAACTTACCTAAGTCGCATTACGCAAGATACTATTAGCAAGATCCTCGTCAATGGGTGGCAGTGGTGGCATTTGGCTCATTATGCCAGGCATAGCTCTCATGCTGCAAAAAAATGAAAAAGCATTCGTCAAAGTTTACCAAATCGGCATTATTTGTAATATACATTGAAACCAAGCACCTACTCATTAAGGATGGCAGTTATATTGTTCCTCGTGCGGTAGAAGAGGTCAATGTTTTCCTGTAACTGTTTATGAAAGAAACAAACTTTTAAGCAAAAAACACATGATTCATATGTTAATGATATTATATGGTCATCAGAAATGTAGATAAAAATTATGCCGGCAAATTAAAACTCAGAAAAGAGAGATGCTAGGGGTAGGCAGTGTCGTCGTTTAGCGATAACACGTGTATATAGCGTATTGGATTATACTGTGTCAACAGCAAAAAAGGTCAGCTTAACATAACTGAGTAGATCAATGTAGTGGATTATTTCATTCATCAATATATGCTGATCAATTGGAAAAGTAAAATTCCAGAAGAAGACTATCAAGCAGCAATGCTGCCGCATAATGCATCGGTTGCATAAAGTAACATAACAAGAAAAGGCATATTCCCTTTTCGCTTCTGACATATGACTTCAACCATAGCGTGTGGAACAACATGGCATGCAAATTAGATGTGCAATAATCAACATGAACTATGATGGCAGGAGGCACTGACCTTGTATGAAGAAAGATTAGATGTAATTTGACTGAAAGCTTGAGCATTTTGCTCCAATAGATGCTTGGCTGTGCCACTTAATCCTGATATTAACCAAAGAACAATTACGTCAATGAAACTATCAAATGAAATATAATACATGTGCACAACTTCAAGACGGGAACAAGGAACAATATAGCAAGAAAGAAAATAGAATGAAATGTGTATGGTGGATTCTTGAAAGGCAATGGGAGGAAATAACGATATACAGACATATATTGACTGAGAGAAAGATGTGCGCAAATAGGAACTATAAGATTTAGATGAAAACAATAATGAGAGAAGAAACAAGGTATTTCTCGAACCTTCATACTGCAAACGCTCATTCTGGTCCATATGGTGCCCCATAAGAGAATATGCAGCCATGTCCAGTGGTGGAGCTGAATGTATGTTTGTCTTTGAAGACGACTCCACCAGTTTATCCTGAAGAAGCATGATCTTTAGAATACTGGTTCTTCAATCAACATAAGATCCTAAAGACATTCATTGGTTCAATTAACTAAAACAAAAATCCCATTCACTGTGTTACAGCTTAGGACAGCAAAAGTCACCGATACATCAAGGGATCTTAAGTTTTCATGTCTAACAATAACTGCAGTTAGAATATACATTATTGTTTAAACTCAGGGTAAGGAGTCAAGACATTATTATTATTATTATTTCCAGTAAGAGCCTTGAACTGAATGAATCTTCATGATACAAAAATGAAAAGTTCAAGCCAAAACCAATGTCAGACAGTTCGCATAAACTTCAGAAATATACCTTCCTAATGTTCCCCTTCTTTCCCATACTATGTTCTTCAGATTTCCTACGCTTTCTCTGCAAAACATTTCAAAAGTAGTTCCAACTCAACCAAAAAATCTAAGGAACAAATCTAGAGTAATGAACAAAACTAAAAATACATCAATAGGTGAAGAGCTTACAGTCATCCACCTACACCTCAAAGCAACATCACGCACAGTTTTATCACGTAACATTGCCGCGATCTTTATGTACCTCATAATACTTGGTTCATTGGCATATCTACATTTGGAAAATAAATGGCTCAAAAATGTTAAACTCAAAACACAGTAAATGAAACCACCATAGTAGGACAACAACTAGGCAACAGACAGTAAAGTGAAAGAAATTCAATTCCCATCATAGCAAGCGGATATGTGAAACAATAAGGCTACTTAGATCATAACCATACCAATTACAGTTTTGGAGCACGATGGGGGGGAGGCCATAGACATAAAGTAATGGTTTAAGAAGCTGATGGTTTTAAGTCCAAAGAAATATATGTTATGCCTGTATTAGAATGAAGATTTGCAGTTTGCTACAGTTAGACAGAGTGCAAACATTACGAGACTCCATCAACAACAAAGTTTAATCACATCAGAAGCTTCGTCACAACATCCAATGAATCGTTACTAAACGTAGTTTAGCAACACGAATATCAAACTAATAGGCAATTATACATAACTGTGGCACTTAAACACAAACACATATGAACGATAACGAATTTAACAAGAGATAAGATTCCGAATGACCTACTTGCCAAGGCCCTCCTCCAATTTGTACTGTTCCTCCACAGACCACTCAACAGCCAAACCTGTGTCATGCTTGAGCCCAGGGACCGAATCGAGAAGCAGAGAACCAGATGAACTCCCAGCCTGACTAATTACAGGATTGTTGTTAACTATGCCCGAATGCGACGAAAACATCATGCCCCCGTCCGTACCAAAGTAATTCCCCATCGGAATCATCTCCGAACTGCTGTTTATGGCCCCGGACTGAAACGATATCGCGTGTCGGTTCAAACCGTAGCCAAAAGCTTCGTCACGGTGAAACCCTGTGTTCGACTGCATCGCCATTTCCTTGCAATTTCTGCTACTAAATCCCAGCCGGGGGAGCACACAAATCAACTACGCAATCCAAACCAACGCACGATACTTTTGAAGGAATTGAAATCCCATGTCGCGTAAAGCCAACGCTTTCCTTCTCGTTACCAGAAACCACTGATTTGGGGCTGCTCAATCATCAAAACTCTCGGCTCATCAAGTTCAAAACCTTAGATTCCACGGCTCAACGACGATTGCAGCTACCCCAATTAAGCTGCAACAAACCGCCATAACTGGTGACAAAAGTCTTCAAATTTCAGCAAAAAATAGCAACTTTAATCTCCAACGGCAATACCCAAATCCCCAAAACTCGAACAAAATCCCCAAATAGAAAAACCCCTCAAATTTTCAGACCCTCGAAAGCTCCTGAAGCAACAGAAAATCCCCAAAGATGGGGAAGGAGGAGGAGAAGAAGAAGAAAAAGCTGAGCACCCAATAGTAACAAAAACCCAGAAAAAATGTTGAAAGCATTTGCTTCGTGTAGCTCCGAAATGGCAGATAATGGAAAGCACTGAGAGGAGAGCACCAAGTGGGTACTACCTACGTGTGGTGCTTAGAGAGAGAAAAGCTTGAGAGGGCGTTACCTTTTTGGGGTTCAACTTTCCGACGGACCCCTAATTGGTCCTCCCTTCCTTTCTTTATTCATTTTTTTTTTTCCTTTTTTTTTTCCTGGGCAGTAGTAGCAGTGATGGCTCCCTCTCTCTCTCTCTCTCCTGCTCTCTGCTACTTTCTCTTTTCTTTTTTATTTTGATTTATTTCCTTTTTTCGAAAAGCTTTTTTGGAATATTTAATTTAATTTTCTGGTTGGTTTGTTTGTTTTCTCCTTTTTGTACAGAGAAAGACAAAGAAGATAGCTCAGAGGCCTGGCGCTCTCAGCCAATGGGGAACCGAAGAATGGGGGGCAACAAAAAGTTGAAGCCTTTAATTTTAAGGAAAACTAATGAAAAGAGCTTGAAAACTTTGAGTTTTAATGATAAGGACAAAATAAAGGGTAAAGTGAATAGTATCAGGATTGACTTTTTAGTGTAAAAATGTGGTTTTTCGTTAAAGTGAACAGTACCGGAGCTTTTCGTTAAAATTCTCTTAATTTTAATGTTTTTTATTTAATTATTTTTATTTATTCAATTCGTAAAGTTGAATAAATTAATATATGGTTGTAGATCTCGGAATTCAGCAACAGTGCGAATCCCCATAAGCATTTGATGCCAATTATTGTGGACTCTCCACCTTTCCTTTCGCACCACTTTTTTTCATCAACTTTTTTCTTTTAATTGGTTTTTAAGTATACGGTAATAGACATCCAACTCCAACTACGCATACGTGGACGCGGTTATGTTGATCGGTGGCGGTGTTTGATATTTTTTCGATACATTAGATATTTTCGTGAAAATTAGAAAAAATAAATTTCATTTCATATGTATAAATTCTTAAATTTTGATTAAAATTGACAGATTTCGTTGATATTTTTTACATACCAATTAAATATCGACAAACTATCATATGACATTCTAAACTTTCATTTAAAATTTTCATATTTTTAGTAAATTTTCATTATTTCAATCGAATGCAACCGATGAGGATATATCCATCTGTATTCCACAGATTTACATATTAATATTCTCACTGATACTAATATTTTAAATATTAATTAGCAACTCCATTATTTATATCTTCTTCACTATTTTATATTAGTTTAAACTAAAGTAGCATTTGTATAAACATAATAAACCATTTTCTTACACCTTCTAACTTTAGATATAAAAAGAAAAATATAATAATGTTGGACTTTTATTTCCACTTAGATGAAAACCTTTTGCACAAAATCTGGGCAACACAAAACTAAATTGATTTTGGAATTGTTTATTTGATTGGTGGAAATGTAAACCTCAAAAATCCAACGGGCTTAATCATCACAACTTTATCCACAACCTTAAATCTAATTATTTTGTAATTGTTAATTCATCAATCTATTTTTTTAATTCCATAATGATTCAAGTATAGAATGCCAATAATAAATGGAATGTTTTCACTTACCCTTCTAAAACAACTTACATGAAATTAATTCATTGTAACAATAGCGTTTCTGTAAAATAATATTATGAAACACAACTCATAAACAGCAATATCGGAACACCACGTAACGATGAACAGCTAACGTCATTCTCCACAAATCCAACCAAAACACCCACAAAGTTGATATGGTTACACAAATATCCACCCGGATAAAGTGCGTCGGAACGGGCATAGCAACATAGCCGATGGAACGTCAACTAATGGTTTGCGGGAACATGTAGTTAGAATCGAACACAAAAATTGAGGAAGACCTCAGCGAAAATTAACATCGATACAAAAATGAACGTCGATCAATAATTATTTGAATTGGTTTAAACACCCGAATTAATTTACATGCATGTTAACCTTGAATACAAAAAACTCTGGTAAATTCCTAGTAGATTTTATTATGTACAAAACAGGGTTGCTTGGGAAGCAAGAATCAGAACAAAAATTAACCGCATGAGATGGTACGTAACTCAATCAGGTAGCTGCGCTGACACCAACTGAAAGAGTTGGTGAGCTGAAAACGTTGGATCAACAGCAACAATGAGATACGTATTTGGTCTCAATTGGCAGAGAGAGAAGAGAAGAGACGAGGGATCAACCCTTAGTAGACGAAGATTGAGACTGCAGCATGGAGGATCATGCTTCATGAATGTAGTTATCCCCAGCACCACAGCTACCAAGAAAGGTAATATCGGAGATTGACAGGATAGAGAGAGAGAGAGAGAGAGAGAACGTGCCTCCTCGATTCGATCATATGCCCGTTCTACGCTATGCTATGCTCCATTCCGTCCACGGTTTGTCAAATTGTTCTATTAATGGCCAGTGTGAAGTATATGAGGATTAATGTACCCATACTGGACCTGATCAAGAATAAGAAGCAAACACACACAAAAGCATGTATCAACGAATAATAACATTCACACTAGTATATTATATAAACACGAAATAAGATCCTTTTCATATTTACTCGTATTTGTTTCAGAGGAGTATATATGAAATGAACAAGGTAGAGGGCTTACACTGTCGCAAATATGAAAAGGATCTTTCGAGGGTTAATGGCCATAAAGCGATTCGTGCCTGTAAGCACGGTTGAGGTTGACCCAAACGATTTTATGGTGATCAGTGACTTCTTCAACGGTTCCAGCTGAGAGTTCACTATCAAGGGGAACACATAATTAATACAGTTCAAACTGCAGTCTATGCCAAGGTGATCGATATTTTAAATGTTAACGCCTATCAATAAGATTGCAAATTGTCTTCTGAGACTTCATAGCAAGCTAGCTAGATGACTGTAAATTATACCTTTCACCAGAAGTTTCTTTGGTGGCTCATCCGTGTCTTCCTCGTCAGTATTCATCAATCGCTCTGCTCGATAAAACCATTTTCTTGAGAGCGCTCCCTAAAGAAAATATAGCGTAAAATAAAAGCATGACCAAAGTTTGCGAGATCGACATGAGGAGTACTTTCAAGATTGATAACAAAGAGACAGCTACTTACTGTCATTTTGGGGCTTCCGGAGCTTCTATCTGAGGGTTGTGTAAGGCTCTCAATATCCAACACAACGGTGTGAGTTCTATCTGAAGCAGTTGTATCAGTCTATACATTAAAATCGATAAACAACATCAGTACATTGATGGATGCATAAACAATGTGACTATGGGATAGCATCAGCGACCTACTTACAATACAATCGATCAAATTTTTTTCAATAACAATGTTTAACAGCTAGCAGACATTCACAATCCCATAATACGGTACCAGAATCACCTACGTGAGAGTGTTTTGGGCCGTTAATTATTTGAGTTAAATAACTTGGAGCTCGGAAACTTATGCTAGTATGACTGATAGAGCGTTTTAAAAGATTTCATCTGTCTAAACTGCCATCTGCAACCCTGGTTTTCTATACACGAATAAAAGGCTTCAGTAAACAGGATTAAAAACTCAAATCTAATAAAATCCAACAGTTCAGTAAAACATTGTTTATCAATTATTTATCTAGACTGTAATTTCATATTTTCTTTTGTTGTCGACTGACAGTTTGGAAAGATGTAGCATTTGGCCTCCAAGGACTACAAGTACCTGAAAAAGGATTTGGATCCTCTCCTTAGCTTAAGGAGAGGATCCTCCTGACCAAGACACGTGGGCCGTTGGATGAATATCTAACGGTTATAATTATTATAACTTTAAAGGGACCTTCCTGTTTGTAACCGTTGGATTTTATCCAACAGTCCATATGTCTTAGTTAGAAGGATCCTCTCCATAAGCTCAGGATCAAATCCCCTGAAAAACAACGGACAAACCCTAAAGTAGTAGTAGTGAGCTATCTAATGTCAGAAGAGTGACATTCATTATTTATATTCTTCCCATACCATATACGCTATAGCCAGTACCAGATAAACCTGCCCTAATTAGGTCAAACAAATTAAACAAGTTGACAGAAAACTAATTCTTGGACCATTCCCATGTGATGCGACGAAACCGAGGCAAGAAAAACCATACAAAAATTAGTCACGCTAACTAAGCTTAAATATTATTCTTTTGAAATTAATACTACAAATAGGCAATCGTGGAACCACATGCACCTAAAATATCCCAAGAAAATTGCTACGGCGACTTTTTCATAGTGGGACTCTCTGTCCCCTCATGTTGTTGGCATGAGAATTAACGTTAAAAGGTGGCAGAGAGTTCACGGTGGTAAAATTACAATGATTGGACGAGTTAAGCACAGTGGTAAAATTACCAACAACTATTGAATCTGTGAGATGAACGGAGGTTTGTCTGTTAGCATGGTGGAAGTGGAGCCTTATGGCTTCAATAATTGATATCTACCTCTATATAAATATATGTATATTTACAATTTGTTTCTTTACTTGGACAGCTATAGTTACCTGTATGGTGCAGATTCCTTCATTGCAGGAACCAGGAAGGTGGGGATTGTAAATAAACCTAATTAATTACAGATTATATGCTAATAACAAATTTAATTACAAACATTGAGATACTGTTTGCTAGTTAGCATAGTTTTGTCTTAAGTTTTACTCGATATTCAAATTTTCAAATAACATACAGACATCCAAGAGCTATATATATAGAGTATGATGTACAGCAGCAAATGCACAAAGTGACAATATATAATTTGTCACTTCAATATGGATGCTTAAACGGTCAATTTGTTCAAACTCACACGGAGGCTTAAACCATCTCTAAATCAAATTAGTAATTAGTATTTCTAGGAATCTCGTTAGATGATATGAAGAGAATGAACAATTTCGAATTTCAATTATGACACACCACATTAGAAGAAAGGAGGACTTAGATTAACTTCAAATTGTTATTTTTCATGCAAAATATTGGAGTACAACAACTTGATTATGAAAGAAGCAGAGAGAACATGAAAACTAACAAATTAAAAAAAATAAAAAATAAAACATGGAGATTATCAGTTCATCTTAATTGTATCTGTAATTTAAAGAAAATTGGTAATAAATGAAAACAATTTGAAAATTAAAGCAGAGGAAAAATTCAACGATATATCTGTAAACTGAGATTGAAGTCGCAGCAGAATAAGCTCCACGTACTAACGTAAACACTGAGTCATTACAAATTACCAGTTCTATATGACAAAATTTAAGTAAATGAAAGTGTATAATCTAGAAGAAGAGTACCTGTCCGGTCTGCTCCTCCCTCTCAAAATCTCTCTCCATTGATTTCTCAGAGAAATTAATCATAGCATACCAGAGAGAACGTCGTCGTCGTCGTCCTCCTGCTCCTCCTCGATCAATATTCCTCAATGTTTGCCGCCTCTAACTTAGAACAAGTTATCAACAGAGCAGCTCACCGCTGATCGCCGTCGGAAACCTCTCTCTGTATCTGCCTCTCTTCTGAGGTTGAAATTTGAAGATGTTAGCGTCAGAAGGGAGAGATGAGAGGAGAAGACTGCCTCCTACAGCTCCTTACTGGCTGACTGGGCATAGCAATTAGCAAGTGTATCGCCAGATCGCTCTCGCTTTCTCTCTCTCCGATGAGTCTCTCTCCAAACACACACATATATTGGTAATTTATCAAATACGCGATCATATACATGATAGGTTGATAATTGAATTATTAGTTAAGGATTGATTAACGTGTTTATTTAGTATTGATGATATATCATTTGATTTGCAAATTTAATTTAGAAATTTGGTTCCCATAACATTTCCTATGCTCTATTGGTCTTGGTTTAATCTTTTGAAAGTCAAACTTAAATTTTTTAACATAGAAAGGTACTTCAATAAATTAAAAAATATAAATATTTCGCAATTTAAGAAAAATTTTAGTATATCGGAAATACGACTTTATATATATCAAGTGTCATAATATAATTGGTTATAGATTTTATTTTTTTAAGTTTTCACCGAATTGTATTAAGATAATGCTAGGGAGATCAAACTTCTAAACTAAATTATGTGGATGTTGATAGTTAAATTATTAATGTGCTTATTTTTTTATTAGTTGCACATCATTTGATTTAAAAATTTATTCTTCTTAACAATATCTATTGTATTATTAATTTATTACATTGTCTACCTAATTGTATTGTCGGCACATTAAAAAATCTCTTGTAACACACAACAAACATATTGATCCAAGTGCTAATTAAGTGAATTAATCAAGGGATGTGATATTTACATACCTCATTTTACTTCCCACGCACCTTTTTAATTTTTGGCCGTCGGATCAGATGAATTGAAGAAGATCAACGTACAGAAATTATCAAAGAGTGTGTGAGAAGTAAAATAAGATGTGTGGATAACAGACCGCTTAATCAAATATATAATGTTTTCGGTTATTGTGTGTAATTGTGATTTGTGGGTACTTCCTTCCCAATCCATCACGTATTCATTATTTTTATGTGAAATCGGGGACCTCTTCATCCATATTTCTAGCAAGTGGACTACCACATAACGTAATTTAGTACAAGTAATTTAAGTTACATATTGTAGCACGCATGCAGTGGAACATGAATGTACGTACGCCGTTCCTATTTAAATTTGAATGCTCTCACCAACTTTTGCGCACTTTGTTTACTATTATGTAACAAATCATTTACTTCTAGAAGTGACATAATTGAAAATGAAGAGATTTTGTGCAAGCCACTTAGGGCTGGTTTGGTATTGCTGTGCTTTGAAAAAAAACTGCTGTGAGAATAAGCGGCTGTGCTGTGAGAATAAGCGGCTGTGAAATAAATCAGCAGAGTGTTTGGTAAACTTTTTTGTAAAAGTGCTTTTGGAAAAAAAAAAAAAACAGTCTGATAGTGGGTCTTTTCATTAAAGGAGCACTGTAGTTCTGTGTGCTTTGAAAAAAAACCAGTTTTCCAAAGCTACAAATGGCAGCTTCAGCTTTTTCCTTTGATTTCAGCTTATTCTCACAGCAGCTTCCAAAATAAGCCCTTTTTTTTTAGTTTACCAAACACCAAAAACACTCCCAGCTTTTTTTCATAGGAGCTTTTTTTAAAATCACCTCACCCCCAAACTGGGGCTTAATACTATGGTGTGGTGGTATTCATTTTTAGTTGTAAGTGAAAGGTCTTAAGTTTGGTTTTCTCCAAACACGAATTTGAATCACATTACTGCTAGCCTATTGTGAGGATAAGCACACCCCCTCCCCGTAAATTATATCGTTTGTTTAATAAATAAAAAAATTATTGTACAAGACTGTTTGAACGGGTTAGATTAAAACTTTCAATCAATATATGTACATTAAGTTATTTATAGCAATTATTTTTAGAAAGAAAACTGAAATTTTTTAATTTTTAACAGTTATGATTATTTAGTAGTTCAAAAAATAAAATGGCGAATATTTAATTTTTTTTAAAAAGTCGTCGAAATTTTTTAACGAATCGAACTACTTAGTTAGTTGTAAGTGGTTTTTTACCATAAAAGTGGAAATATGTTGAGTCTTGCATGTGAATGTGGATTCAAATCCCTTTAGAAATTAATCTAACAAAATCTATCATTTGACCAAAAAAAAAAAAAAAAACTACTTAACTAGCTAAACTACTGAAAACAAATTCCGGGAAGAAAGCATTGGTAAGCACAACGATGGGCGATTGGGTTTAAATGTTTACAGCAGTAAATGAAGTGGCTTTGCCATGCACACGTGGCATACAATGCAAAGGAATTGGATCCCATCCGGATCCACTTTGTGGGGATTCTGGGAATCCCAACATCTTAGCCATTTATCGTGTATTGTGTGGTCATAAATTATTTAACTTTTTTTATTTAAAGTTAAACATAAATAGAATATGATAAAAACTGATCGTACAATATACGATGAACGGTTAAAATATAAAGATATCTAAGATCTCCATAAAGTGGATCCGAAGAGGATCCTCTTCCTAATGCAAAACATCCTCTATCTAATTTATATGCTCTTTTTTCTTCCTTTTTGCCCTTTCTACTTTCTTTTGTTGGTCCGATTAATTTGCCTCCCTTTTAATTTTGTGCTACCACATGTGAATCTCTGTATATTTATCCATTAATTAAGAGAGTTTTAACGAAAAACCCATGGTATTGTTCACTTTAACGAAAAATCACATTTTTACACTAAAAAGTCAAACCTACTACTATTCACTTTACCCTTTATTTTGTCCTTATCATTAAAACTCAAAGTTTTCAACCCATTTTCATTAGTTTTCCTATTAATTAATGCGGGTATCTAGGGGCCAAGCCCAAGGCCCAATCAAAAGGCCCATTTCAGGAGCCTATCAATTTAGCCCACCTACTTTATAGACTCTCAATCCTTGCGCAATCCCCACTACTTTTGGATTAGGTTAAGATGGACTAGTAATAATATGGTTTAAATTTGTCTTACGCAATCCCTACTACTTGTGGATTAGGTTAAGATAGACTAGTAATAATGTGGTTTAAATTTGTTTTTAACGAGAGTCGAACTTAATACTTCTCACTAACAGATAAAGAAGAATACTACTATATTGTTACTAAGTGGCTGGATTCTATTAAGATTGAATTGGAATTTTAAGTGAAGTTTTATTAAACAATTTAGAATCGAATATGTCATCCAAGTTGTTTATTAGATTATCTTAATTAAAATTGGATTACTGAAATTCCCTATAAGCTACTGGTTAAAGGAAAATCTTCATTTTTTTTTACTAAATAAATGTTTTCTCTGATCACTTGACATTGGTAATAAACACGTTTCATGTAAATCTTTCTTCAATACCTGAAACAATAAACAAGAATTAAATCACAAAACCTTTACACAAAGTGCTGCACTCTACAATGCGTAGTACAAGAATCACGGTTCAATCCCTAAAGAATCAGAATACATGATTAATTTAATAAGCCGCGTTAATTACTTTACTAATCACTCACGATCAAATGCTCAAGTGTTCTTCCCTTGGCAGACTCTGAACGGTATCCGACCATCTCCCCGGCGAGTGATCACTGCTGTTGGAAGACACTTGGCCCTCCGCCCTAGCATCCCTTATCATCCTTAGAACATCTCTCATCGCCGGTCGGTTCTCCGGTGAAAGCGAAACACAAGCCATTGCAATGTTAAGAAGTGCCTGCAGCTTCTCCTCTGATGCCTCATTGCCCGAGGCAGGGTCATCCCCTGACTCAGTCTCTTCTTCGCGCACTGAGTGGACCCAGCTAGGGATGTCCGAACCATGTTCCTGGACAAGGTCTTGGAAGGGAGTCTTTCCGGTTAGGAGCTCCAAGAGGAGGACGCCGAAGCTATACACATCAGCTGGTTGGGTTGATGGTTTTCTGATGTCGCGACATTCTGGTGCTCTATAAAATAGAGTGGTTGCGCTAGGTTCTTCGAGTGAATTAGGATCTCCGAATAATGTGAGACCATAATCCGTCAAGCAGGATTCAAAATCGGAACCTAACAAGACGTTTGAGGATTTCAAGTTTCCATGAGTTAAGCCGGGGTTCTGGTGGATATAAACAACACCACTCGCCAAGTCCTCAGCTATTTTAAGACATGACGTCCAGTGAAGCGGCTTACCGCCTCCTGAAGTTCTTGAACCTGTAAAATCAGTTGGAACATATCACAACTAGAATTCGACTAATGACACTTTCAAGAAAACTGCAACAAGTTTAATCAATCTCAATTTCACTAGTTCGGTAACTTCTGGACGGAAAAAAAAACTCCGGTGAGTTCTGAAAATATTCAATGAAATTATACGCAAATTTGACTTGAAATCAATAATGTTAATGTGCTGGTTCCTACCCTTCATAAGAATAAGAGTTTGGTGCTTTATGAAAATCCAGAAACTGGTAAAAAAGTGTTCTGTTGATACAAAATTACTGGCTATTGACGAAAAGACATGAGCTTTGAAGAGGCTACCAAAACCAGCTAAAAGCCAAGCATACAATGATATGAGTTAGAATAGCAAAGGCACAACGCACACAGTTATATGACGAGAGAGATAGACATAGACAGATGAAATATATCTCTGGCTACACGGTTGAATATCTCCAAAAAAATAGTCAAATGTGCAACGTGCAGACACGAAAACCGAAGGATTTGAGCCAGTGAGACATCACTAACAAGCTGAGGTCACACTCAAAATTTGAATCGTTGATTAGCAAGCCAACTCCCTTCCAAAGATTGCGATTAATTACTGTAAAATTACCCTGTAAAAGCCTAAATGCAGGGAACACATTTGATCTAATCTTGTCTTTATTTACCTAAACTTCTTGGAGAATGATGTACAGATAAAGAGAGATTGACTGTGACTCATGCCACACGAGTCCCATGAACAAAAGAAAAAAAAACTTTTCAGAAAATTTGCATGCCAAAGAACAGCACTTTCAGAATATTTTGCTTACCCAAGAAAAAACTACCCATATGCTTACTGATACGTTACTTTCCTTTCAAATCACAATCCCACAAGTCCGTTGAGAATTCTTTTTGGTATATGTGTAAATACCACCATCCCAAGCCAACAAGGTCTCTGCTTTATCCTTGCTTTGCAGATAGACTTTTTCCACAACTTGAACCCGTAGACTTCAGAGCACAAAGGAGTAACCTACCTAATGGTTGCG